ATACTGAGGTAATGGTGGGTTGGTCGATTCATCAACCAGGAACTCTTATCTGAATGTCGAGGTTCTATAGATGATTATAGCAATTAGAAATCGCAATGCGGGGAAAGCAATATGTGGTTGCTATTGTTTCCATGTCATCTCCATCAGGAGCAGCCAATCAGAGAGCATGGCATGAACCAATAAAACAATGACGGCCTTTCCATCGTCCCGACACACGTACCCAGTAAGGCAATGATGGCCGCTGCATCGTCCCGCCACATGTCTCTAATAAGTCAATGGTGGCCTTTTCATCGCCCCTCCACATATTCTACATAAAAACTGTAAGCCTCTCCATCGACCCGTCACATATACCCCATAAAACAATGATGGTCCCTCTATCGACCGTTCCATATACCCCATAAAACAATGATGGTCCCTCTATCGACCGTTCCATATACCCCATAAAACAATGATAGTCCCTCTATCGACCGTTCCATATACCTCATAAAACAATAATGGTCCCTCTATCGACCCGTCCCATATACCCCATAAAACAATGATGTTCCTTCTATCGACCGTTCCATATACCCCATAAAACAATGATGGTCCCTCTATCGAACCGTCCCATATACCCAATAAAACAATGATGGTCCTTCTATCGACCCGTCCCATATACCCCATAAAACTATGACGCTCCCTCTGTCGACCCGTCTCATATACCCCATGAAGCAATAATGGTTCCTCTATCGGCCCGTCCCATATACCACATAAAACAAAGATGGTCCCTCTATCGACCCGTCCCATATACCCCATAAAACAATGATGGTCCTTCTATCGACCCGTCCCATATACCCCATAAAACTATGACGCTCCCTCTGTCGACCCGTCCCATATACCACATAAAACAATGATGGTCCTTCTATCGACCCGTCCCATATACCACATAAAACAAAGATGGTCCCTCTATCGACCCGTCCCATATACCCCATAAAACAATGATGGTCCTTCTATCGACCCGTCCCATATACCCCATAAAACTATGACGCTCCCTCTGTCGACCCGTCCCATATACCACATAAAACTATGACGCTCCCTCTATCGGCCCGTCCCATATACCACATAAAACAAAGATGGTCCCTCTATCGACCCGTCCCATATACCCCATAAAACAATGATGGTCCTTCTATCGACCCGTCCCATATACCCCATAAAACTATGACGCTCCCTCTGTCGACCCGTCCCATATACCCCATGAAGCAATAATGGTTCCTCTATCGGCCCGTCCCATATACCACATAAAACAAAGATGGTCCCTCTATCGACCCGTCCCATATACCCCATAAAACAATGATGGTCCTCCTTCGACCCGTCCCATATACCCCATAAAACAATGATGGTCCCTCTATTGACCCGTCCCATATACCACATAAAACAATGATGGTCCCTCTATTGACCCGTCCCATATACCCCATAAAACAATGATGGTCCCTCTATTGACCCGTCCCATATACCCCATAAAACAATGATGGTCCCTCTATTGACCCGTCCCATATACCCCATAAAACAATGATGGTCCCTCTATTGACCGTCCCATATACCCCATAAAAACTATGACGGTCCTCTATCGACCCGTCCCATATACCCCATAAAACAATGATGGTCCCTCTATTGACCGTTCCATATACCCCATAAAACAATGATGGTCCCTCTATTGACCGTTCCATATACCCCATAAAACAATGATGGTCCCTCTATTGACCGTCCCATATACCCCATAAAACAATGATGTTCCTTCTATCGACCCGTCCCATATACCCCATAAAACAATGATGGTCCATCTATCGACCCGTCCCATATACCCCATAAAACAATGATGGTCCATCTATCGACCCGTCCCATATACCCCATAAAACAATGATGGTCCATCTATCGACCCGTCACATATACCCCATAAAACAATGATGGTCCATCTATCGACCCGTCCCATATACCCCATAAAACAATGATGGTCCATCTATCGACCGTTCCATAAACCCCATAAAACAATGATGGTCCTTCTATCGACCGTTCCATAAACCCCATAAAACAATGATGGTCCTTCTATCGACCCGTCCCATATACCCAACAAAACAATGATGGTCCATCTATCGACCCGTCCCATATACCCAACAAAACAATGATGGTCCATCTATCGACCCGTCCCATATACCCAACAAAACAATGATGGTCCATCTATCGACCCGTCCCATATACCCCATAAAACAATGATGGTCCCTCTATCGACCCGTCCCATATACCCCATAAAACAATGATGGTCCATCTATCGACCCGTCCCATATACCCCATAAAACAATGATGGTCCTTCTATCGACCGTTCCATAAACCCCATAAAACAATGATGGTCCTTCTATCGACCGTTTCATATACCCCATAAAACAATGATGGTCCTTCTATCGACCGTTCCATATACCCCATAAAACAATGATGGTCCTTCTATCGACCCGTCCCATATACCCAACAAAACAATGATGGTCCATCTATCGACCCGTCCCATATACCCAACAAAACAATGATGGTCCATCTATCGACCCGTCCCATATACCCAACAAAACAATGATGGTCCATCTATCGACCCGTCCCATATACCCCATAAAACAATGATGGTCCCTCTATCGACCGTTTCATATACCCCATAAAACAATGATGGTCCTTCTATCGACCCGTCCCATATACCCCATAAAACAATGATGGTCCCTCTATCGACCGTCCCATATACCCCATAAAACAATGATGTTCCATCTATCGACCCGTCCCATATACCCCATAAAACAATGATGGTCCCTCTATCCACCCGTCACATATACCCCATAAAACAATGATAGTCCTTCTATCGACCCGTCACATATACCCCATAAAACAATGATGGTCCATCTATCGACCCGTCACATATACCCCATAAAACAATGATGGTCCATCTATCGACCCGTCCCATATACCCCATAAAACAATGATGGTCCCTCTATCGACCGTCCCATATACCCCATAAAACAATGATGGTCCATCTATCGACCCGTCCCATAAACCCCATAAAACAAAGATGGTCCCTCTATCGACCGTCCCATATACCCCATGAAGCAATGATGGTTCTTCTATCGACCCGTCCCATATACCCCATAAAACAATGAATCAGATGGTCCTACTATCGACCCGTCCTATATACCCCATAAAACAAAGATGTTCCAGCTATTGACCCGTCCCATATACCCCATAAAACAAAGATGGTTCCTCTATCGACCCGTCCAATATACCTCATAAAACAATGATGGTCCTATTATCGACCCGTCCAATATACCCCATAAAACAATGATGGTCCCTCTATCGACCCGTCCCATATACCCCATAAAACAATGGTGGTCCCTCTATCGACCCGTCCCATATACCCCATAAAACAATAATGGTCCTTCTATCCACCCGTCCCATATACCTCATAAAACAAAGATATTTCATCCACTGACCCGTCCAATTTACCCCATAAAACAAAGATGGTCCATCTATCGATCCGTCCCATTTACCACTTAAAACAATGGTGGTCCATCTATCGATCCGTCCAATATACCCCATAAAACAATGATTGTCCATCTATCGACCCGTCCTGTATACCCCATAAAACAATGATGGTCCCTCTATCGACCCGTCCCATATACCACATAAAACAATAATGGTCCCTCTATCGACCCGTCCCATATACCCCATAAAACAATGATGGTCCCTCTATCGATCCGTCCCATATACCCCATAAAACAAAGATGGTCCCTCTATCGACCCGTCCCATATACCCCATAAAACAAAGATGGTCCCTCTATTGACCGTCCCATATACCCCATAAAACAAAGATGGTCCCTCTATCGACCCGTCCCATATACCCCATAAAACAATGATGGTCCCTCTATCGACCCGTCCAATATACCACATAAAACAATGATGGTCCCTCTATTGACCGTCCCATATACCCAATAAAACAAAGAAGGCTTTACCTTCGTCCTACCACAAATATCCAAAAAGACAATAATGGCATTTCCATAATGGTTCCTTCACATATACCCAATAAAACAAAGATTGCCCTTCCACCGTCTCGTCACATATTTCCATTGCCCCGTGACATATACCCAATAAAACAATGATGGTCCCTCTATCGCCCCGTCGACCCCATAGCCTCGCCACATTTACCCAATTAAACAATGATGTCTCCTCCATCGCGGAACAGGTCGACCCGTGAACATCCGGGGTAGAATAGGTCTTCAGCAACCGAGGTTTGTCGTAAAAGGCGCCTAACGGGTAGGGTGGTCAGGCTATCTGACTTGGTTGATGCATGTCATCGTTTACAAATTGCGTGGATCGATGCTCGTATCCCAATTGCGTGGATTGATGCTCATGATGTCAATCACTGGATTGTCTGGTCCAGACTCGATTATTTACAGACCGCCATCATATAGTTGGAATATTGCTCAGTGCGGCGTTAAACAAAAACAACAACCCAATCATAACAGCCGAATTGTAAGGGTCGCGTGGTAAGAATGTGTATTATCTATTTTCACCGGAGAGGATCGCTGCTCATGCTGTCAACCACTAGCTTGCCTGACCCGGTATTGTTCATATGTTTTTACTATAGCTGACGGCAGTGAAAAAGACAACATATATTCATGACCAGTCATTATATTCCAGTGTTTCTATGGCGATAATATGACAGTGTCGTCTGTACAGAGACCGGAAGCAAAATACGTCGCTATTGTTGTTGCCACATCCCGATTTCTCCTAAACGTTTCAATAAGTGAACTATGCGTTGACGTTCTTCCTTTAGGTTGAAGGATTGAGGCCTGTCTGAGGACACGAGTACAGATGTTCTTCACTGATACTTGCCCTCGTGGTGACCTAGGATGCTGAAGGCATAGATATACGACAGGATAGATGAGGATGTGTGTCAGGTCACTGATATGATGTGATGCACTCACTGTTATCATAAGTCGCACACACAGTCAGTTGGGGAGCCAACAATGGCGGTAACACCAGTAGTAGTCTTTGGTCTAGCATGTCTGGTAACATCAGCATCCGTGAGTAGCAGCAACCAAATCAGCTTCCTTACAAGTAGATTAAATCTGCAATATTCCTGGCTTTGCATACCATTCACAGTAAACATGCGCACGTCGTATCTGGAGTCTGTCCGGACATCCTTGAACGATCAAATATTTTTCAATAATCAAATAAATTAAGAGGCACATTTATATCGTCTGATCATGGGTTTTGGGACATCGAATGTTTTCACACTGCCATGGTCATCGCGATTCCTCGCGCTATAACAAGGGGTGTGGCGTCACACAGACAATGCAAATACTCCGATGATGACCTGTTTTTTGAGATGAGTCGTTTTGTGTAAGTGAGAGAGATGTTTTCCGTTTGTTCTTGTGATTAACGAGAAAATTACAAATGTTTCTAAGGCGTCCGATAACCCATAACACGGGGCTATCTGTTATTTTCATTAAACCCATATCGTCTATATTGCTATCATAAATTAATTCATTTGCATGATATCTGCAGTTGAAAAACTATATAAGTAATAGAACTTGAACACCCTGTGCATTGGAGAGGTGGCTCAAGTTCCATTGCGATGTTGTCCTGTCAGCTGTTTCAGCAACCCAGTCTGTTTCAGACGGCCAAGCCCAAACATGACATCGACAAGGTGCATGTCATCTTCATGAACCATTTAGGTGAGAATCCCACCGGAATTCCATCCTTTAAATTTGATTTGATGGGACAGACGTATTATCGCCCAAACTAAACTAATGTCCAAAAGAAACGATACCACACATTTTTCTAAATATTTTATTATGAAGAGTTAATTTTCGTCTGAAAGGGTACTTTTGCGTATCCTACGTTCCAAACCAAACGTATTCGGTCGATAAAACCGGGAACATTTGATCAATTGAGAAAAAAGCGTGCAATTTGCCCAAATGACGTTCCGTCCCGTAACACGAAATGCACGTGCATATCTTCTGTATAAAACTGCTGACCCGACACGTTGGGATCACAGCAACAAAAAGCACACAAAAGAAATGCCACGTTTGACAGCGATTGAGAGAGAGAGAGAGAGAGAGAGAGAGAGAGAGAGAGAGAGAGAGAGAGAGAGAGAGAGAGCTGTAGGAATGCTCCAACAGGGAGCTACGCACCGCGACGTCGCCAGAAGGTTAGGATGCGCGCGCATAACCGTCACCAGGTTTATGCAGCGGTTGCGTCAAACAGGTCGGACAGCAGACAGGCCGAGAACCGGGAGACCACGGGTGACCCCGCCTATTGAAGACCGCCACATCCGGGTACTTCACCTTCGGAACCGCTTCGTAACGTCGACGTTAACGACACGGACGGCACTGGGACACGTGATAAGTCGACAAACCGTGTACAGGAGACTGCGGGCACATGGCATCCGACCACGTCGCCGCTACCGCGGAGCGTTCCTGACACCTCAACACCGACTCAACAGACGGATATGGGCCAGGCGACTTCGACGGTGGCAACGGTGGAACTGGGCACGTGTCATGTTTTCTGACGAAAGCAGATTTTGCATCTTCAGGAACGACGGCCGGCAGCGTGTGTACCGAAGAGTAGGTAAACGTTTGGCACCGAACTGCATCCATCAAGTCAGGCCATATGGAGGCGGAGGTTTAATGGTTTGGGGTGGAATCTGCGGTGACATCAAAACGAGACTCGTCGTTATTCGAGGAAACCTGAATGCGCAGAATTATCGTGATGACATCTTACAACCAGTTGTGGTGCCATTCATCCAACAACAGCCTAATGGTATCATTTTTCAGCACGATAATGCGAGGCCTCACACGGCAAGACTGACCCAGAACTTCCTAGCAAACGCCAACATTCACGTTTTACCATGGCCGGCATGTTCACCGGACATGAACCCAATCGAACACATGTGGGACATTCTCGGCCGCAAAGTCAGGAATCGCCCTGTGCCTCCAGTTAACCTCCAGGAATTGGAACAATGCCTCCTCCATGAATGGCAACGCATCCCCCCCAACGTCATCAGACGTCTGACGTCATCAGCCCGTAGACGTGTACTAGCGTGTATTGACGCTCACGGTGGACATACCAAGTATTAACGTGACTTTGAGACGTGTGTTTTCATTTTGGACCCCCCGCGTCTTTACATGTCTGTCCTCATGATTGTAAAGGATTGATTACAATGACTTTTTGTACACATACTGTGAAAACATTACTCACAAGTCATTTACCAATTTGAAATGTCTGTATTTTTTAGTTTTTTTTGTAATGTCCTTTCAAACACGTGGTATCGTTTCTTTTGGACATTAGTTTTAGTTTCACGTTATATACTGTAATTGTTAGAGTAAGTTGTAATCATGACAAGAAAACCCTGAAGCAATTCATCAGGGAATGAGTAAGGTTGGTATAAAGCCGCTTTGAACAGTATTCCAGTTCTATCACGGCGTGTCAGCGTGATGTGTGAGGAAATCTCGAAGTGATGCAGGTATAACCAAGCATTTGGCCCGTGTTTGGGAACTTGATATACCTTGATAAGAAGAGGAACGATTACAATCAAGCAGTTTACTGTCAGTGGTGTTGTGCACTGACCAGTGAATTGTGCACTGTCTTGATCTTAATATTGACCAACGATACGTCACGAGGTATTGAAGCTGTATTATTACATAATAATAACTTCTGCGAAGATGGACAATTGAATTCACCGAGCGATGAGTTTGATGGATACGTCCATCTTACGTCACTACAGCATGCCTTGTAGTTGTCAGTGTTCTGTCTGACATGTAACGTCTACAAGATGTACTTGCTTGTCGATATACTGTAGGTAATGACAATTTTATGAATAGTTTAATTCCATTTATATTTAGTGAATAATTATATCAGAAAAATGCTAATATTTACAGAAAATATTGGAACAATATTGAATGTATTTTACACTGGTATACAGACCTCGGACGTTTACCACCTTGATGACAAAGCTAGACACATAATCTGGGCTAGCGGGGATTTAAACCTACGATGCATCAATACGCCGCCAAATTCAATGTTGTGTGCCAAGTAAGACAATCTGTGTGTTCCACATGCAGAAATAGTATTAACAACGCCGAGCTGTAATTTTTTGCGATCTAGTGCAGCTGTATAGGGTGTGAGAGACGCCACTTGACGTTATCTTGTACCACGTGACTGTGCAACCTGGGCAATGTGAGGCTGTCGGCGGTCCTGTCGCACACGCTGGTGTACCATGGACCTATATAACCGTGGGTGTACGAATCAAGTGTAGCCTAAATAATGTCCCCCCTGTCTTAATTGTAGCGAAATGTTTGACATAAACGCTGATTTACAAAGGATAAGACAACCATTTGGAAATAAATAAATTCCCCATTTACTTTTCAAAAGCAAAGGTTCAATCAGTGGTGTATGTCCGTCGTCGTAATGGTAATGCTAGTTTGTGCTTGTTTGTAGATGTTGGTTACGATGGTATTGACCCTACAGTCGGATACGCCAGTAATGTCATCAACAGGTACTTTGACGTGTACTACCCCCGGGCCATGCAGGTGGCGGGGGACCTGAGGAGGGGCGGACATACGGAGACCTTCATCTACACGACCCACCCCTGGCTTGTGTATCTGTACACCAACTGTCACCTCCTCACCCCCGTCCTCAACGGAGTGCCCATCCACGTGAGCTGCCTTCAGTTTCACACTATGTGAGGTCAATCGCGGTAACGTGCAGTGTGTGTAATAGACTATGTATACGTGTCATTTAAAATTGCTTAAAGATAAGTATACTTCATCCTTATAGGTTCTGCTTTATAAGGATGATTATATCATAAAGAACGTATCGCCAACATTCGCCAGTGTCCAGTCCACGAACCGGAGGCAGCTGACGTCAAATATTCATTTCTGAAACATACTCAAGGCAACTATTGAACTATTGAAGCGTCTCATGTACGGTTAAGTCCCCGTGAAGATCCGGGTTAGAATAGGTCATCAGCGAGGTGCGGGCATATGCGTCAGTTCATGAGTTAAACAACAAATACACGAACAAATCATATATCCCGACTCAATCGTTTTTGTATTCGGGCTTTACAAGCGTGGTTCACCGCGGACTAACATAAATGAATGCTGAAACACATTCTATCAAACCTACCAGGATAAAACAGTTGCTGTGTTTCTGGTAAATTGCAATGTTTCTTTCCTTCAGTGTCCCTCCAGCCAGCAGTTGTCCGCGTTCGAGGCCGCGGTGAAACAAGGGGACATTGCGTGGCATGCTGGGGCTATGAACATGCAGCCGGAATACTTCTCGCAGCTTCTTTTCCAGCTCAGTCTCAACGTCAGCAAGGATCTTGACCACCAGTTTGGCATCAGCAGAACCTTCTCCACCATGAGCCAGAGAGATGTTCCAGGTATCACTGGCAGACAGATTCGTGTAACCTGCGTGTGGTCGAATTTCAAATTCGAATTCGCATCGGCGTGACACTTGCTCTGGTCGAGTCTGCAGAGGAGTGCACTGTTGGTGGGAATATACACACAGGGCAACAGCTATATGTTGCTATGAAACAGCTGGACCTGCGTATGTTCATGCATGCGTCAGACACTCCAGTGTCATTACCGTGCAGATCGATTCTTGCTGTGATACTAAAACTAGGCAAGTTGCTGCGATAAACTAAACATTTACCTATTGTGCTAATTCGTACCATTCACCCCAGGAACGTAAATGGAATATGCCGCTCATTCATATTCATCGGGGTCAATCGTCACGACGAGGTTTTCTGTTCTGTGTCCAGTAGTTTTACGTATGGGAAAATATAATGATTATTAAATAGGAATGTTATGTGCCAGATTTAACACAGCAATTCCATTACATAATACTTTGAACGTTGTAACTGTTGACTGATATAAACGTCCGGGCAATGTATACCCAATGTTTGATGGTGGCCAAACATGAAACAAACAAGAAATGATTGTAGTCAATGGTGACGTATGATGGTTGTATTTTGGAGCTTATGTTCGCATTCTATCGGCGACTGTTCAGCCTTATAACGTTTTGTCAAATCGAAATATTCCTGTGTACACTTTCTTCTGTCCGGCAGTGTATTACAGAACCAATTTTTCATTAAAGTAAGATCCTAGTAAGAGAATGAGAAAGACGGGCGGCTAAACTGGTCCAAGGTGACGTAATGTGACGTGCAACTTGTCGTCAATTGATTGTACCAGAATCCGGTGATCCAAATTCGAATCCAATATTCGCTCTGATTACGATTCTTGGCCGTGTGGCGTTGTGTTTGACTAAAATGATAAGCGTATACAGATTCAGCCTGTTTTCCCGAGACGTCGTCCATATAACTGAAATACTCATCCAAGCGGCGTAAACTCACTCACTGTATTGAACAGAGGTATCCATTCGTATATACTGAACAAACAAAGTTAGGGATCACGGATATTTTGGGGGATATTTTTCTAGTGAAGACTGAGCACACACTTTAAAAAAAAGATATCCCCATAAATATTCATGACCTTAACTTTCTTGTTCAGTATATGCTTCGCTATTCAATGATAATGCTTCATCCTTAACATGTCTATACCAAGGTATGACCAAGGCCGTGATTCCTGTGTTGGCTGAGAACGGAGTTGTTGCTGTCAGCGTGGGCGTCAATGATGGCTCAGCGCCTCCCGATGTCCCTAACCCTTTCATCTGGCGGTTCAAGGACAGCGAGGTCATCGCCATGTGGCACAAAGGTAAGCTCGTTAATACAAGCTAATGCAAGGTCAAACATTTGTGTTTGCTGAACATATCACTACATAACTTGGCCGTGCATCAAACTCAACTTAATAAGAAGATTTATGGACAGCTTAATTGTTATGAAATATGTTTAACAATACCGAACTTTAATATGACTGTATTTCAGGTGGTTACCCAGGCAACCCCGGCCCTAACGCTACAGATCCTGGGGGTCTGAGCCGCGATGATTGTGTTATAGTGAAGGGTTTCCGTGAAGCTCTTTGCTTTGCCTTCAGGACGGACAATAGCGGCCCGCCAATAAACTATACGGTAAGTGCGAATACTTTGGATCTACTTTGGTGCCAATCTGTATACTTACGGGATGTGACACCTATCATATAACTACATATATAGGCGCATGCCTATCCCCGATACATACATATAGTACGTCACTCACCATCTTGGCCAAGTTGAAATTAGCTGTATCGTGTAAATTAAATGGAAATGTATGCATGTCATGTTCGCAATACCTCCCCACCTCCCTCCACATACACACGGCATGCCACAAAATTTCATTTTTGGAATTTAGTACCTATATCGGTTGATTTTATCGAAATATTGGCTCAATCGCGACTGTCGGTCACGGAAACAAAAATATCCGCTCTTAATGGCGTCGAGCGCTCAATCTCATTAAAATCAGACCTTAGTTCTCGCTACCGCTAAACAAAGATCTGAAGACATCCCATTAGGGGTCACGTCGGAACGACCTTTCATCTGACCAATCAGAGCGTCGCTTACCAGATTATGAAAGTGACAGTCGGAATGTGATTTCTTATCATGCAATTTCAAAAACTTTAACACGGGGTATTCCGGACGATAGTTACGGGTTAACGACTAAATCTATACAATCTAGACCGTCTATTAGCCATTCCAGAATGTTCTTTTGTTTAGGTTTCAAATTTGTAATCGAGAATTTGTCAAAATATGTTTCGAAACGTAGTCCCCATATTGAAATTAGTGTCGTAAAGCACGAGAAAGCTGCCTTCTGATTGGTCATTCCATTGGTCGATCAAAGTTCGCGCAAGGTCGGCCTGACGTGACCCGTAATGGGATGTCCACAGATCTTTGTTTAGCGGTAGCGAGAACTAAGATCTGATTTTAATAAGATTGGTCGAGCGCTCTGATTGGTCCGCGTTCCCACCATAACAAACGAACGTGGTGATCTTTACCAATCAGAGCGCTCGACGCCTTAAGGAAATGGGTTCGGTGTTTCAGTAAATTCTCTATCCTGATTCAGGGGCCTGTGGCATAGCCCAAGTGAACAGTGCATGTGTTACATATATCACGACCGTACACTGTACGGATTGGTGGACAGGACAGTCGCATTTCTATTTTCTTTGAAACCGGCGAATAAGAAAATCATTAATTGTTTGAAAGGCATTACTTAGAAATTGACGGATGGCAAAGTTGACACAATTTATGGATAATAACTTCTTAAATTTCTGCAAAGGCGACGTTTCGGTACAGTAATTAAAGAAATTGTCTACTTTGTTGACAGAATCATAACTATATATTGGCTTTGAATAATGAAATTGTCCCAAGGAGGGAGCATCCACACACTTGGTTGCCGTGTGTGGGTTTTATTGTTTATAAGTTGTGTTTTGCAATCTCGTGTTTTATGTCAGGAGGTTTTAAGTAACTATGCGGTCGTCCGAGGAGTGTTTCCTGGTGCCAATGTCACGGCCTCGACCTTTGACCTGTACGTGGAGTCTCTGTCAGAAGTGAAGCATAAGTTACCGAAGATGAAGGTGGAGATTGGAGACACATGGATCCAGGGCGTGGCGTCTGATCCCGCAAAGAATGCCAGATTCAGGGCTTTTTCAGACGCTTTACAGAAATGTTACAAAAAAGGTAGAACATGTATGATATTAAAGCCACAAAACCATTTCCATAATCAAAAATCCATTGAACGATACCATAAGCATGTGTTTATGAATCACTATCAAATAGTGATGATACCAAGTGCTCACTCGAAAAGTGAGCGTATCCTGCCTCACCGGTGGTACCCGTCACAAACACGTGCAAAGGCAAGCCAATTGTAACCTGAAACCATGGGAACATATGGTACAAATCAAAATGGGTAATTGCATCGGACATCATTTTTGCAACTTTTTATCAAATTTGGAAATATTCTCCACATGTCTACCATAACACCTTTTGAAATTCCGATCCCACTCTTTGAAATCTTCTTAGAAATAGCATACTCGATTGATCATCAAAAGTTCAATGAAGACAGCAAAGGCTGGGGCTGCTGGCATATAGCTCGACATGCACAGATCTCAATATGAAGCAGATAAAGCGGTTTGACTGGTCCTTACATTTTTAGTTCCGGTGGGTAAATCTTTGGAAGGGGTTATTTGACTATTATGAAAAATATCACATCGTTGTTATATACCCTGAAATGATACACATTGTAACGATTTTTCAGGGACAATTTATTTTCGATAAAATCCCAGCCCTCCCCCAGAATATCACATGGTCGGTCCCTTTCATCTATCAGGTGACTGTTCCGGAGATGACCCCCGCCTGAAGACATCCACCAAGTGGCTCATCAAGGCGGGAGAACACACGTGGGGCCTGAAGAGACTGAGGGACAACACGAACTGGACGAATATAGCAATTTCCAGGGCCAGGAATAGTACGTAGTCCTCATACACAGCTGACATTGTACAAAATGGCCATATGTTAGCGTGTGCAGGGTTAATGTGTTTGCGGTGCATGTTTCAGCAAGTGACTTCATCACCCACGTGGCTTCCTGGAATGAACAGCGTCAGTTCCTGGACCTGGCTTTATCAGCTCTGTCAGACCACCCTCTGGTGAAGAAGATCCGGAGGAGCTATAAACAGCTTATACCCGTGAAACCCGACCTGACAGGTGAGGAATGGTTTACGTCGCAACGGCAACACTTCCACCATAATAGGATGCAGGACAATACGGCGATTGTTAACCTTCTAGCGCCTCACTGGTAGTTTGGGTTGTATACTCCCCAGGGAGCTGAGAATGAAATTCGAGTAGCCACTGATCCATTGACCGGTGTAATAATATAGCACCATGAGGATTCTCTAGAGTGGAATTACGCGCAACCGTGAAGATCCGGGATAGAATAGGTCTTCAGCAACCCATGCTTGGCGTAAAAGGCGACTGTGCTTATCGTTAAGGCCCCTTACCCAGGGCTGCGACCTTTGTGCCACCTTTGAGCGATCAAAAACTAGCCAGGTCGTTCAATGGTCGCCTAAACCCTATGTAACTGCTCCAGAAGTTGTTCAGCAGTAACAGCTCGAGTTGTTCAGCGTCTGCAACCACATTGAAACACTGCAGGTACAAGCCCTCTATCTATAGGCAGGCTGAGGAGGCACTACAGGTAGCTCAAAGGAGAGAAGAAAAGAGGAAGAAGCATTGCCATGGTGTCTCAAGGAATGCCGTGGTCGCCGAATGGAGGCACGGCGGTCGCCACAGTCATCGTTCAATGCACGTCCAAAGGAGGCATAAGGGAGGCAGAAGCATCGCCCGGATTGACGGGAAAATATTTCAGCTGGACTCTATCTATTACCTGGCGACCATTGGGCGACCACTAAGCCTTCATTCTGCAACAACGACAATGCTTGTGCCTCCCTTCTGTCTCCTTTGAGCCACCAACTTCCTCGGCGACCTTTGTGCGACTGATTTGAACATGTTAAAAAATTCACGGCGACCATGGCGTCCATGGCGATGTATGAACCCCCTGTATTCCACCTTGGAACGACCCAGGCAACCATTCTGTCTCCTTTGAGCCTCCAACGACGACCTGGCAATTTTTATGGTCGCTCACGGGAGGCACAAAGGTTGCCATCCTGTGTGCAGCCCCCATAAGAGGCGACTAACGGGATCGGGTGGTCAGGCTCGCTGACTTGGTTGATGCATGTCATCGCATTCCAATTGCGTGTATCGATGCTTATGATGTCAATTACTGGATTGTCTAGTCCAGACTCGATTATTTACCGACAGCCGTCATAAAGCTTGAGTGCGGCGTTAAACAACAAACAAACACATTTATCCTACGACACGCTACCAATACACACGGCATGTCTTTTACCTGGGCAAGACGTTGTGGGGTCATTTTCGCATCTGGTTCAAAATATTGACTTTGCTGAATACGGCTTTTGCAAACTGTCGCGGTTATTAGTTGTTGCTGGTATCGCATTGATGCAAGATGTGTTGCAATTAGTTAACGGGTGATATAGGTGTTATTTTATTACAGAGTACCAGCTGATAGAAGATCCCACAACGCCCTTGTCATGTGGAGATGACGTGACGATGCAGTTTGCTCACGATGGATCCATGGTCCGTCTCTATGATCCATTAAATAAGGTAGAAGCCATACAACATGTCCGAAATACGAACATTATTAATATTTCAAATGCAGAGGAAACAAATAAACAGACTACGTTTTATCACATGACATCAGATAGATAATTAAAATCGATTATTACCACATTACTTCCAACTCTTCTAAATTCACTGACATGTCCTGAAGTCTTGATTTGTATCTCTGGGACTCGCTGATTGAACACCAGCTATGGATTAGGCTTCATACTGTCAAATACTGACCTCAAACACGATATTTATCAAATACACAGCAAGGGTAGGGGGGTGGGGTGGTGGGGGTGGGGGTGGGGTGGGGTGGGGTGGTGGGGGTGGGGTGGGGGGTGGGGGTGGTGGGGGGTGGGGGGTGGGGTGGGGGGTGGTGGCGGTGGGGGGGGGGGGGGGGGGGTGGTGGTGGTGTTTGTGGCGGTCGGGTAGCCTAGTGGTTAAAGCGTTGGCTCGTCACGCCGAAGACCCGTGTTCGATTCCCGACATGGGTACATTGCAGTGTGTACGCAAAAACGAAAATGGATAGGGAAAAATATTATATTATTTCATCCTAAGTAATAATACAATTGGATTTCTGTAAGTGTACCTCAAGAGACCACCGCCTTCTTTTACGTGTTGACAGCAAACTGTTTCTTGTGTAGAAGTGCGTACCTTGGGCCAGGCCAGAAACCTATGATCGTGGATTAGAATCCTGGTTGATTAGTTTTGTCAGTACAATACCCGTGATCTCATGTGTTTCATCAAAGTGGAAAACGTCTAAGACTTTCATCACTTCGGGCTTTCCTCCCATATTAAGCTGACACGGCGTGATGTAACTGGAATACTGTTCAAACAGCATTAAACCCAACTCACTCACTCAAGATCTCTACAGTCCCATACACCTATATAAAAGAACCTAGTCTTGAATGTCATATACTTGAATACTGTTCAAAGCGGTGTCAAACCAATCCACTCACTCACTCTTTCCTTCGGTATCTGCAGGTAAACTGGGCCGGTGCTGACAACCCGATGGGTCAGTTTTTGTACCGCACCTACAACGACAGTGATGATGTCGCCGTAGCCCGCTACTACTGCTACAAAACCAATTCCAGTACTCCGTTCACAAAAACAAACGCCACTATGAATGCTCACCCGGAGTCCAGATTCTGGCCGTATTCGTTGTCGTCACTTTACAGAAACAAGAGTACGTGCTTCAGAAACATGTAGGGCATGTAGTGAGTTGCGTTGTATATTCTACACATTTTCAATGAATCATACATGGTTCTTTGTTTTAACTAGTTCTTTCTGTGTCCAGACGCGACGAGCAGCTGTGACGTTCTCGCGAAGCTGACGCCCGACAACGCCACCCCCGTGACGTACTACGGGGCGCCGCCTGAGGTGTGGATACAGTACGTCTCCCACATCCCGGTTCATGTCTCGGGGAAGAAACAATTTACAGGTGGGAATCATCTGCTATGTTGATGTGTTGATGCCGATGTTTAATTTTAGCAAATTGCGATTTCGTCTCAAAGAATGCGGCGCCACGCAATAATCCCTCTCACTCACTCAAATCATCATATATGTTGGGTTCAGGGGTTCCTGACCCCCACCCCTTTGAAGACAATATGTCTATTCAGTATATCCCAAAACCGGGACCCCATTTTTTAATATTACCAGATCCTTACAAGAGTTTCGTTCACAACTTGCCCATTTGAAGCATGTATTTCCAGGGCTTGATGTGACACTGCAGTTATTCAATAAAACAACGACTCGGCTGAGCGAGGCTATATCCTACAACTTCGCGCCACGACCGGCCGGCAACCAGACTTGGATGATCTCCAAGATTGGAAGATTCGTGGATCCTCTGAATGTGGTATTTAATGGAAGCCAGTACACTCATGGTGGGTAGAAACGGGTCCGATGCCATACATGTTAATTCACCTGTACTATACGGGTCTCCATCAGCCAAAATGTTCCGAGACCCGTGAAGATCCGGGATAGAAAAAGTCTTCAGCAACCCATGCTTGTCGAAAAAGGCGACTATGCTTGTCGTGAGAGGCGACTAACGGGATCGGGTGGTCAGGCTCGCTGACGTGGTAGATGCATGTCATCGTATCCTAATAGCGTAGATCGATGCTCATGATATCAATCACTGGATTGCCTGGTCCAGACGCGATTATTTACAGGCCGCCGTTATATAGCTGGAGTATTGCTGAGTGCGGCGTTAAACAATTGTTCCGAGGTGGTAATGTTACAGGGATATTTCACAGCGTTGATTTCTGTCAAATATATGACAGCTCACCACGGAATGTTATGCAGACCAATACACACTATAGACATATGTCAAATGTTATCAAATTGAGTTGAGGTGCACTGACATAACAACCATCTAGCGGGGCGGTCGGGTAGCCTAGTTGTTAAAGCGTTCGCCCGTCACGCCGAAGACCTGGGTTCGATTCCCGACATGGGTACAATGAGTTTATGAGGTCCCTTGCCTTTTCATGCAGGGCAAGTGCGCGATATGCACAGCTGATGACACGCGAAGAGTTGATCTGTTGTCTCTGCTTACCATTGCCGAAAGAGTTCATATGTAGCGAGGATCTGTCAATTACATACGAGTCCACGTATGACGAACCCCGTTTCCTGTTTTGCACGTGCGTCACGGACGACCGTTAAATAGAGGCCAGTCGATTTCACGAGGCAGTCCATTTGAGGTTATTTGAGTTCGGCAAATGGCGGAGACAAGACGTCTTTGCGAACTGGCAGCCCCATCCCCACCAGATATCCAGTAATTACAACTTTCACCTCTATTTACCTGTTTATTCCCCTTCACCATCCATCAGTTTGTCTTGCTGACAGCATACAATAGCTTGTCCAAAAATGTCTTTATTACGTTTCTGTTTACTTTCCAACCTCCCACCTCCATCTTCAGCTCACCTGACTGAAAGTCAAGGGAGCTAATGTCATGGCCTGCTTGTCCTGCATCAGCGTCGGCATCTGTAAACATCTCCTCGGGAACCAATGAACAATGAAGTTGAAACCTCACTTGCGTATTCCCGACCATGACGACATCTCAGTTTGTGGAAAAGGTTCAAAACCGATATAGCCGCCACAGCATTTTATTGTAAAAAATGTTTATGGCAACTGTTAAGCCATTTCTGCTCAAAACGCATTCTATAGGTCTTGAATTCTCTCAAAAATCAATTTTGCCAGTGTAAATATATATTTTGTGAAATTCCAGGCTGATGACGAGGAACTGAACATTGGCATGCATGTTTCTCCTTGTGATGACATGTTGTATGGTTCACACCTGACTTCCACGGGACGTATTTATACTGAACCGCAAAAGAAACGTCACCCCAAGTTACATTGCATGAATAGTTGTCATTTAAATATCTGGGTAATTTTTGTCAAAGTTTCTAAAATTTATTATTACCTTGTCCGGTAAAATGAAATTTGATGATAGAAAAACGAAGCAGATGACAATAAAATCGATCGCCCAAACGCATTACGGCAACGGCCATGGTAACCCGATGCTCGTGAGTTCCGTGCAAATTGAAATGCACATGCGTTCCCCCATGTCTTGCCCTATAAAAATCCACCCATATCGGATAACATTCATTCGTTATTGAATTGCTACCACATGCCAAGATTGACAAGAAATTAGCGACACCGACCCCTTGGACGATTGCAAGCTGGAAAAATCGCCCGGCAAGTAGCCAATGCATTTCAAGGACCATATACAGGCCCCAACAACGGTACCAGACCACCAACACTACAGATGACCGACCACGTAGTGGAAGACCAAGGGTCACCACCCGACGTCAGGATCGTCAGATTGTGCGACAGCATCTTCAAGATCGCTTTGTTACTGCTGCGGAAACTGCTCGACAGACCATGTGGACACACCAGCGACACATTAGTGCGGACACCGTGCGTCGACGATTGACGAGCAGACACCACCACTGTCACAGGCCACACCAAGGACCCATGTCTTCAGTGGGCAACACAGTACCAGCATTGGCGCCACCAGCAGTGGAAAAGAGTCCGCTTCTCAGACGAGAGCCGTTACTGTATCTCAACAACCCTGTGTTGTTGAGAGAGACTCGCGGGGTGGTCCGGGCATCATGGTGTGGGGTGGAATTGGTCTTGCACAGAGGACCTGTGGTCTTCCAGAACATCTGTCCAGGGAGAGGCAATAGTGTCACAGCAGCTCGGTACATTGATCAAATCTTGAGACGACACGCCATACCTCATTTGGCACGTCGCCGCAACCACGAGTTTCACCATGATAACGCCCGTGCCCACACTGCGAGAGCAACAAGACACTTCCTCCAGCAGAATGGCATCAGAACCATGCAGTGGCAAGCCCTCAGTCCCGATTTAAATCCCACTGAGCACCTGTGGGACGAGATTCAAAGACGGCTGAATGACGTCCGACCAAGGCCGACAACTGCAGCTGAACTGCGTCAGGCGTTCCTCAGAGTGTGGGCGCAAGTGCCTATGGCCTTCATCAACCGCCTCATCCATTCCATATATCGACGTTGCCCGGCAGTCATCAATGCACATGGCGGACACACGAGATACTGACTTGTGATGCCATTTCCTCAGAGACTAGTGTTGTGTTTCACTTTAAGAAGATTTGACACTTTAATTTCAACCTTGATGATCAGTTTTGCCAAGTTTCATCTTTTTATTATGTCTCAAAGTATGTTTACAGCGCTTGGACAAATAAGGTTTCCCATATATCTATCCATGGTGACGTTTCTTTTGCGGTTCAGTATTATAATGTCTTCCTCAAGAAGGGAGGGGAGACTTTGTTTTTGGCACGGTTCCCGTCGGCATCTGCGTTCCCATCCCACTCCGAGCCATGACTTGAAAACCATTTAATGTTTTTTAACTAAACTTGGTATATGCATTGCTCATCAGTTTAACTGGCTATTTTGTATTTTTTCAAAATCTTATATTTTACGTATCTTGTGTTATTATGGAAACAAGATGGACTTATTCTCAAAGAAGTAGCGATTCTTTCTCGCCAAATCTCTACAGCTAATGAATATTTCCGCATAAAACCACTATCTTTTCAGTCTATAAATTATTCGTTTTTATTTTTTTTTATTTGTAAACTCACTTATAATTACAGTAACAAATTGAACTAATGTATCAAAAATGGAGGGGGAGACATGTTTTTGAGTAAAAGCACATTCTTGTTTTTTTAATTGTTACCCCTCTTCTCAAACAGGATACAGCAGGTTCCATCCCCTGATGGGTATCGGGAGGTGGTGATATCAAATGGAAAACACCGCATCCGTGCGACACTATTATTTATTTAAGTTTTCTCTTGAAGCATTTTCATAAAACCTTAATTATGACCTTACATTACGCATGAATGACGGGTTATGATTGGCTGAGACCCGTTGTATTACTTTTGATATACCCCACTAACATGTAAAGTACATTTCTTATGTTCCCCGCCCGAATTGCCGAACTGTTGGTGTTGCATTTGCAACACACCAACCGCAATTTTGTATCTCAAATTAATAATATAAGAGGCCATTCTCCAGATATTTATAGATCGAGGGGTAATAACTCTGTTTGTTTTCTGGCTTCTGCTATTTTTCATGCACATGTTATTGCAGCGACTGACGCCGGTGTCCACTTCCTGAACGACAGCGGTGACGGACTCCGCCTCCTGAGTGCTGACGTTCCGCTGGTGTTGTTGAGCTCAGCCACCCACCCCCCAGCGGTCTTCCCCGTGCCCCTCCAGCCCATTAGTGAACGCATCACTGGGGCGGCCTTCAACATCTTCAACAACGCATGGAACACAAACTACATCTTTTGGTACCCGTATGTTGACGGGGACGAGAACTTTAAAGCCAGGTTTCAAATTGCATTTGCGAGACAACACAAAGAGGAAAATTAAAGGAATTCGCAGTGAATGTGTTTGTAAAATTTGATAATGAAGCTTACTGTTCGTGGGTGTAACATGATGTGAACTGTCCGATAGTATCGATGAAGTAATTGGATACGCCGTCAATTAGAAAAGAAGGTAACCGGGAAAGAAATAACCCCCATATTTTATCCTTGCTAAGATGTAAATACTAAACATCAGTATGTGAAACTGGTCCTAAATAGTAGATATCATAAATCCACTTGTGTGTGCCATTGCGGGTTCTGATGAGTTAAAACAAAATCAGATAATGTTTCCATCATCGTGGTATCTCGCCATTATCTTCACCAATCCACACGCATGCACGATACTTGAAGTAAGTTGAAAAGACGCTGATGTAAGTTTAGTTACTTACACTCGCGTACAATGAAGACCCAGCCCGGGACGTTTACTTCTCTATCTGCTGCAGGGACGCTGAGGAAATTAGAACTTGACATCTGGCAGTTGTTACCCCTGGAAAAATATTTTTTCGTTTCATACTCTGCTGTCATGCATGTGAAGTCTTTTGTGCGTCGACACTGTTCTTCACATTCCTCCAACGTTCCAGTTTTAGTCTGTCTCTGATTATGCTTACTGATTCCAAGTCGAGGGAAGTGGCTGAATGTGTCCCCAATTTCAGAACCTGCAGGGAAACATATATTATTTTAATACAGTTTACAGTTGTCAGCAATCTACAATCTGGCTTCTACAACACCTGAGGACAAATTGCAGTCACGTTCGTATCTCATATGAGGCAACATCAGTATACATACAATCGTATATACATATATAGAAACAATTGTTTTTTCATACAAAATGAGATATTGAATTTATTTTTCTTTGTTTAACATTTACTCGAATAATCGTTTTTAAAAGACATTGATGTGACCTGGGGTCCGACACATTGTAAATAATGTATTATCGCCAGTGATAGTTACACTTTGCAGTTGTCTGTTATCACTTAGGAGATAAACATACTGTGTTTTCAATGTAGATCTAGGTTCCAAATGATAAATTTAGCGCGGTTAAATCTACAGGTAACCTAGCTCTACATTGAAAACACAGTATGTTTATCTCCATTCTACCATGACTAAATAAAACGCGAACTCTTTGGTGTTAGCAAACATACTGAGTGAAGCGGCATGGGTTGAGTCCAGTGTTTTGAGTTATCGATCTGAATTACGGAATCACCGAACAAAATATGGCGCTGTATATACCCAAGCAGTTTGTTTACACCGTCATACTTCACTCGAACATATGACAGGCATTGAAAGCATATACGCACGGCAACCTGGTAAGCTAACATGAGGTGGGCATCCCTAAAGAAAACAAAGCAAGCTTTGCAAGGCTTTCGCGCTTCAGCGCATAAGCTGGTTCCCGGCTCCCTATGCGCGTCGTCAACTTGCGCCATCGTCTCATTGGCCTGTACCGGCTCGTATATTGTGATATTAGAGACGGGGTCAAGCTTATACATCGCACGTCACCATTTTGACGTCATATCGCTCATTGTGACGCAAAAGATATGACGTCACAGTCGTATATAGAAAAGCGACAAAATTCCAAGCTCTCTGTTGCCTCCAAAACGTAAATACATTCCCCTTGTAGATTTCTATCGTGTTTTCTGCATGAAATGTATCGCCACACATCCTTTGAATATTGTAGTAACTGCATCTGTGCATTTTTGTTACCTGTTATTGTAGATATAATTATTTAATATGCCCACCGACAATGACTGAATTCTATTCTATGAATATTAGCTCCCGCGGTGATGCCGCCGTCAAACCAGCTGATTCAATCAGAGGGAGTTTATTGTGATTTAATAGCCTCTGATTGACCAATCAGAATCGAGTAAATTCCATGGTAGAATATCCTATATCTTCATCCCAGTAGCACTAAACGTATATTAAATAACCTACATTTGTGGCAAATTGAGGTCAGCAATGAATTATCATTGCTGGAAAGTATTTAGGATACCTAAATGACAGTAGCATTCAGTAAAGCGTATCGTATGGATCAATATAAATGCTTGTAACAAATAATTCTAAAACATTTTTGGACATTTTGATTTTGCTGACACCAGATTCCCTTGAAGCTGCAACAGAAATGCTCCAGTAGATAGCTACTTACACTCTATGCATGCCTTGGCTGAGGGCGAGTACAGCAAGTTTACTCTACACAGGCACTTGCCATTGTGACAGTATCTTTCATCCCATAGTTTCGGTATAGTCTTAGCTTTGTTGTGATGTGCTGCAACATGAAGACACCAATTTCAATTAATTATTGATCCTTTAAGGATATATTATTATCCTTTAAGGATATATTATTAAAGATAGTTTGATGTCATATGAAATACAACCTTGTTGGGGGTCCTGTGTTATTTTGCTTCAACCATACATATATAAGGTTGAAATGCACCAATACTGACAGGCTGTTATGTTCAAAATGCCTCATGTTATTGTTTGTAGCAGTTTTATTTCTTTTAACGTCTGTTACGAGTTGAATACCAAGTTAAAGGTTAACCCAAAGATCGTTATGTATAGAACTACATTGTTAAATTAGTAAATCACCACACACAATCAGTGAACAATCAACAAATTATATTGAAACACACAGGATTAGGTTTACAATCACATTTAAACGGGTGAAATACGTGGCAGCAGGAAGAAATAACAGGCCCTACTACATACATCAGCGCACTCCCGAAAGTCCCGAATTTTGTCACAGTTGAATGTCTTGAAAGCATCTTCCTGAGACAAGGAGGTTGCCAAGCTAGGCTGGACTTAGTGTTGTTACGAGTTATGTCCCTTCCTTCAGATTGCTATCATATCACTTGCTTTTGCTTCTAATAAAATGGCGGCGCCCAGTCAAGACGATCTGATCGATAATCAAGATCTATAAAGTAATCAAACGGGCCTTACCTCACGAAGTGCACAAAATCACTTGAGCAAGTTGACGAAAATCATGAAAAGAATCACGACAGTCGCCATATTGTTTACGAAGCGGGTGTCTATTTCGATTTTGATTGGACTATGCATAAACTCCTCAGGCCAGCCAAAACACAACTCAGCAATTCGAGCCTAGTTCTGCAAGAGTGGAAACTGGACTTTTATAGCCAGTTAACTCCCTTGTGTCTTGAATGTGGCACATGCTCCGTTCTTGAATCTGGACCTGTTGGAAGCGGGCAATAAGTCAATGCTTTCAGGAAGGTATCCTGTCCACACTGGGCAGGTAGATGAGTTTCAAGTCAAGCTGTAGATGGCCTCGAATCATCCGCGACTCGCTCTTATATACATGTAGGTACGGCGGGCATCAAGAAAGTGAGACGGCTGGAATGTAGTCAGTCCCGGAAGTGAATTGACAAACGTAAACAAGCTCATCACAGCGTGTGGACTGTGAAGAACTAACGGAAGTCACTCTAATTTACAATCTGCTGCCACTAACAGAAATCAGAAATAAACTTACACTATATCTACTGCCACAAACATTCCTTATTCAGGAATGGCCTTTAGATGAACGAATCTGGACCAGACAAAGCAGCGATAGTTCTCATGAGCATTGGTCCCACGTCATCGATGTGTGGGGAGCATGTTTAGTTTTACGCGTGAATTAAAGAGACAAACCCCTTTCCATATTCATAAGAAATCTCTGCCAAAATCTGTGACTGTACCATGAGAATGTGTTTATGAAAAATCACTATCAAATCGTGATGATACCAGGTGTTCGCGAAAAGGTGAGCCTTTCCCGCCCTACCGGTGATACCTGTCACAAACACATGCAAAGACGAGTCAATTGATAACCTGAAAATATACGGGAACATATGGTACAATTGACAAAATTCTCACCTTCGACCAGACGTGGGTCCCATGGAAGATGATGGTGACATTGAACTGATGTTGAGGCCCACCGCACATCTCGATAAGCCTCAAACATTTTTCTCCCGACCCAGTTGGTTTGGGTAAAGGTATACATCTAATCCCAGCGATTCGTAATGGATATCGCGAGTGAAAATAGCACAAACCGTAAGCACGTCGCTTCTCGGGCATCGTTTGACCCCGGAAGTAAGTCTGACAAATCCGCAATGCGCGCCCGGCCTTCTGATTGCGCATGCGCTAGTTTTGATTGACAGACTGGATCGCTCTATTGAATCGGACATAATTTTCGTGGAAGATGCGCTGATACATAAAACGTTTTGAAAGCTTTACTGAGGTCTTGAATGTTGTAACGTTGATCAAACAACTTCTGAGCAAAGGTCTTGTGATGCTTTTTGAAATCTTGGTAGAAAGAGCATGTTCGATCGTACTTCAAATGTAAGCATCAAAGTCTTGAGCTGCAGGAATATCACTTGGCACGAAGGGGAAGTTGCTTTTTGGAAAGTTGAAGTCATCACTCTTATCATACTGCCTTGGTTTATATTGATATTTGTAACAGTCATGCAACATCTGATATTGGCATGACAGTTGCTCGAATTGAGACGGTGTAGCAAATTATTTATAGCGTGTAAGACCGTCCCCTGCTACAAGAACTCCACGGCGCACAGTAAAAGTCGGTCGTCTTATGACGTCACGTGTGACACGTCGCCATTCTTCTTGGGGGGCCTGGATCAATCCTTGGCTGTAGGTTGTGGTCGCTGTCGAACACGTCGATCTATGACATCCCAGAGGTGTTCTGTTGGGGACGTTTATAAGGAGCGTGCATTTCACGGGCTTTGGCGTTGTCATGCTGATAAATGTCAGCTCCTGGCAGCTGTGTGGCTGGACAATCGGACGAAGAATATCATACATGTAACGTTGAACTGTCAGATTTCCGTTAATGATGACCATAGGTGTTCTCTCAAGCCCACTGATTCCTCCCCACACCAGAACACCCCGCCTGCATACGGCACGTCCTCCTGAATGCAGCATGCCGTCGTTCGTTCTCACCTTCGACGATATACACGCCGACTTCCATCAGCTCTGAACCGAAATAACCGGCTTTCATCAGGGCCAGTCACGTCGCTGCAAACGGCGCACA